CAATATACATTAACTCAACTAGTGTTTATTTTTATATAGGAATCATGCAAAGAATAAGTAATCAATTGAGACATGTCTGAACATATATTCCAAAAGAAGAAAAACACAAAAATATTATGAAATATTTAAAATTGTGATCAATTATTCATTACTTAGAAACTTGAAGCATACTTTCAAATCAAAAAATAAAAATAGAAGACAATTTCCAGTATCACTTTTTCCAAACTTGAAAGGCTATATGAAATAAGGCAAAAAATTTAAAATTAAACACAATATTTCATCCAAAAAAGGAAATTATCTAATTTAAGTTCCTAACACAAGTTTAATGTGGAGAATCAGTAAGATTAAAAAAGTACATAATAAGGAAAAATCATATTTACTTGTAAAAGCAATATGTAGGTCAAATAAATATGAATGTTCTTGACATAGAAAATGTATACTTATTAATAAAAACATATAAAACTAATTGCTAACAAATGTAGGCAAGTCATTTTATAAATGTAACATTGCATTAATATGCTAGGAAATGTTCAATTTTTAATATTCAAATAACTATAAGCTGTAAGGAACTGCTGAATAAAGACCACGCTATGTGTGGAAAAGAAAGATTTATTAGAGGCCAGAATGCAGGGCTGTCATTGTTTCAGGTTCAGAGTGCAGCAGCTTGGCTGAATTGGGTAGTGGGCTTTATAAGAGGGGCTGAGCCACGGGGGAGGGAGAGAGTCTCTGGTCTCTGATTATCTGCGATCACCAAATGGAACAGGTCGACATGCCTGGCTAGTTGACTAACTGGAAGTTCTTGAGCTGTTTTGCAAGCAGAGAAACATGCAGGAAAACAGGCAGGGGAGAAACAAGCAGTCACATATCAGAGGGTCTGGTTTCAGTGCTAGCTTTGGGAACTTCTGCCCACCCCAAGAATGAAAGGGACCTGACATTCCAGCCTTTTGATGGTATTATGGGTGCTGATTGATCTAGCTGCTTCGTGCTGACTGGGGGCATCATTAAGGGGTGTTCGGCTATAATTTGGAAATTTGTGCAGTTCCCAGGAGAGGAGGCTGATGGTGTTTTCCAGGCTTCATTTGGAAGACAAGGCCAATTGTTGGTAAATTCACCTATACAGAAAATTGAGAGCCAGAAGAGGACGAAGAACTTATGTAGAAGAGGAAGAGGGAGAGAGTTTGCAGGAGAAGTGTAGCCATGTGGGGCCAGTGGTATGCAAGAGTACTATCCTTTGCTGTAGTGGAAGAGTCTGAGATTGGTGGGCAATGTTTTATTCTTGAAAGGTGCTGCCACTGGGGGATCCCATTGAGCTTGACAGCAGTGGGCATTATGAGGACAACCAGATGGGAGCCAGTCCACCGAGGTCCCAGCAGAGAGGGTACAATATCCTTGAGGAGAACAAGATCCCCTGGTTGAACAGAAGTTGTTATAAAGCCCTCTGAGGGCTGGGGCAGGATCTGGTCTGCATGCTTTCTGAAGTACCCTGAGGAGGTTAAGGTAAGGTAGATAGCCAGCCAATGGAGCAGGGTATGTTGGAAGCAAGTTTCCTAAGAGAAATGGGTGGCCATACATTATTTCAAGAGGGCTCAAAAAGGAAGGGCTTCAGGGGGTGGCTCTGATGCAGGCCAAAGCTAAGGGCAAGAGTTGACTCCAGGGTAAGTGGAACTCAATAGAAAGCTTTTTTAGATGTTTTTTATTATTCAGTTTACTCCCTCCACTTTTCCCGATGATTGAGGGTAATAAGGGATATGTAGTTTCCAGGTCACACCCAGGGTAGAAGAGACAATTTGTGTCACCTTTGAGATGAAAGCTGGACCATTATCAGATTGTAAAGTCCGAGGCAATCCAAAGCAGGGGATTATGTCATTGATTAAGTGCATAGACACTATGTCTGCTGACTCACCTGTAGCAGGAAAAGCCTCAACGCATCCAGAAAAGTTTTCAACTGGGGTTAATAAATATTGACTTTTTTATGAGCTGGCATATGGGTAAAATCAATCTGCCAGTCTTCCCCTGATACGGAGTCTCAGAGCTGGTGAGCAGAGAAGGAGCGGTGTGGTCTCAGGCCACCCTGGGGGGAAACCTGGGCACAGGTGGGGCACTCTTGGGTAGCATTTCTTATGAGAGAAGGGAGAGAAGGATAAAAGAATAAGGGTTTAGAAAGTGGAGAAGGGGCTAAGTGCCAATATGAAGGGTTCTGTGAAGGGACCTTAGAACCCTCTCTGTTTGTGTGTTGGGGAGAATACGTTTTCCATTTAAAAGGAACCATCCTTATTAACCTGCTGTGGCTACAATATTTATAAGTCTATTTTGCTCTTCTGATGTATAGGTAGGTTTTATCTTAGGGATAGTTATGAAAAGTGCTGTGGGGGGAGTCTGAGTGCTAGCCCTTTTTACCTCTCTATCAACAAAGGTGTTGCCCTAGGTAGTCTCTGTAGTTTCTGGATGGTGTCCCTTGCAATAGATTACTGCTACTTTTGGGGGAAGGTAAGAGGCCTTTAGCAGTTTAAGAATGAGGGACCCATTGGTGATGGGTGTGCTCTTTGTGGTGAGAAAGCCCCTTTCCTCCCAGAGAGCAGCATGATGGTGTATAAAGTGGTAAGCATATTTAGAGTCAGTAAAGAGGTTGGCTGTCTTACCCTCAGCTGAGGTAAGGGCTCTGGTTAGAGCAATCAGTTCTGCTTTTTGAGAGGTGGTACCCTGTGGGAGAGGACTGGATTCAATTACATCTGTGAGGAACACTGTAGCATAGCCTGCTCATCTCCTGCCTGTGGAATCCAGTGAGGAACTGCCATCTATAAACCATGAAATATCTGGGTTGGGCAGAGGTGAGCTTGAAAGATGGGGTTAGCAAGTTAGAGTCTATAAGGATTCCAGGCAAGAGTGTTCCAGGGGTGTGACATCAGGAAGTAAGGTGGCAGGATTAAGGGGAGGGCAGGCTTGCAAAGTAACACTGGGGTGTTCTATCAAAGATGGAAGAGTTGTAGTCTTGAAGGAGACAGGTTGGAAAGGCAGCAGTGAAACAAGAGGTCAGTCAGTCAGTGGGGGGACAGGACAGAGGTGGGCTTCCCAAAAGTGAGTTTGGAGGATTCCTGAGTTAATAGGGCCACCGCAGCCAAAGCACGCAGGCAAGGCTGCCAGACTTTGACAACAGGGTTAAGCTGTTTGGATAAGTAGGCTACAGGGGTGAAGGTGGGACCCTCCATGTGTCCTAACACTCCCAATGCCATTCCTCCTCTCTCAGTGACATATAACTTGAAAGGGTCATCTAAGTTTGGGAGAGAGAGAGCAGGGACTTGGAGGAGGGCTTGTTGAAGTTTGAGAAAGGGAGTTTTGGTAGGTTTGACTGGGTCGAGAAGATCAGTTAAAGGGCCCCTTGCAGCCTCATATAGTGACTGGGCCAAGAGGGCGAATTTGGGATTACATGTCCTGAGGTAACCAGCCAGTCCCAGGAAGGAAAGTACTTCCTCTTTAGTAGAGGGGACCATTTATGTCCTGATTTGGGCCTTCTGGTCTACTGTGATCTGTCTGGAGGTCAGTGTTGGAAGGAACCCCCAGGCATTTAACCTGTGGTAGGGAAAGCTGAGCCTTGGAAGGTGAAACTCGATAGCCCTTTTGTGCTAGGAAGTTAAGTAGTAAGGCAGTGTGTTCCTGAGAGTAGGTAAGAGTGGGGCTACAGAGAAGGAGACCATCAACATATTGGAGCAGAGTACTGGATTGAAGGTTAGGTGAGGATAAGTCTCATGCCAGATCCTGGCCAACAAAGTGGGGGCTATCCTTGAAGCCCTGGGGAAGGACAGTCCAGGTGTGTTGTTGTGGTAGCCCAGAAGCTGCTTCCTCCAACATGAATGCAAAAAGATTGTGACAGTCAGGGTGAAGGGGGATAGTGAAGAAAGCATCCTTAATATTGAGGACAAAAAATAGGAAGCGTCTGGAGGGATATGAGATAATAGTGTATATGGATTGGGTACCATTGGATGGGTAGGAAGTACAGCCAAGTTAGCAGCACTCAGGTCCTGAACCAGTCTGTATGAGCCATCAGGTTTTAGGACAGTTAGAATGGGGTGTTAAATGAGGAATGGGTGGGTATAAGAATCTTCTTGTTTAGGAATTTGTCAATGAGGGACTTTAGTCCCACCTATGTTTTAGAGAGATGGGATATTGTGACCTGTTTGGATGAGATAAAAGGTCTTTTAGATATATTTTAATTGGTGAGTGGTAGGAAGTGACAGAAGGGAAGGAGATATCCCAGACTATTGGATTTACTGTGAGTGGTAGGAAGTGACAGAAGGGAAGGAGATATCCCAGACTATTGGATTTACTGTATCAGGAGGCAGAGGGAGAGAGTTGGGAGCTGACGAGGGAGGTCAATCAGTAAGTACCATTAGGAAAAGGACATGGGACTGGTCTTGAGTAGTGAGTGGAGTTGTGAAGGTAAAGTGAAATGAAGTGTGGAGAGAAGATCCCTTCCCAACAGTGGATTGGAACAAGAGGGCAGGATAAGGAATGAGTGTGTGAAGGTGACACCTGATAAGTAATAGGAAGTGGCCTGGTTGTTTTTGGCCAGTGGAGGACACCATCTACTCCCACCATGGAGATCTGTGAGAGATAAAGCTTACCTGGAAAGTTGGGTAGCACCGAATTACTGGCCCCTGTGTGCAGCAGGAATGAGATTGTCCTACCTGCTACTTGGACAGTTACCCTGGGCTCCTCTGAAGTGATCCTGAAGTGCGCCAAGGTCCCAGGATCACATCAGTCTTCTGCTGCCAGGCCCAAGAGGTCCGTGAGGCCTTCACTCTATTGAGAGTGGGAATGGGAGACTGACCTACCTTGCAGAGACAAAGAGGAGCAGTCGTCCTTCCAGTGTCCATTCTGGCCACATCATGGACAGAGTCCTGGCAGCAGGTGAGGTGAAGGACAGTGTTTTTGGCTCTTGGCCTCAGAGCTGGCTCGTGAAGCGGAGTGAGGAGCCACGCAGAAGTAGCTGCCGCCGCGGCCGCCGCGGGACAATAAGCCAGGATCTTTGATACCTGTTGAGTAACTATGGAAGACTATACCAAAATAGAGAAAATTGGAGAAGGTACTTACGGAGTTGTGTATAAGGGTAGACACAAAACTACAGGTCAAGTGGTAGCCATGAAGAAAATCAGACTAGAAAGTGAAGAGGAAGGGGTTCCTAGTACTGCAATTCGGGAAATTTCTCTATTAAAAGAACTTCGTCATCCAAATATAGTCAGTCTTCAAGATGTGCTTATGCAGGATTCCAGGCTATATCTCATTTTTTAATTCCTTTCCATGGATCTCAAGAAATACTTGGATTCTATCCCTCCTGGTCAGTTCATGGATTCTTCACTTGTTAAGAGTTATTTATACCAGATCCTTCAGGGGATTGTGTTTTGTCACTCTAGAAGAGTTCTTCACAGGGACTTAAAACCTCAAAATCTATTGATTGATGACAAAGGAACAATCAAACTGGCTGATTTCGGCCTTGCCAGAGCTTTTGGAATACCTATTAGAGTATATACCCATGAGGTAGTAACACTCTGGTATAGATCTCCAGAAGTATTGCTGGGGTCGGCTCGTTATTCCACTCCAGTTGACATTTGGAGTATAGGCACCATATTTGCAGAACTGGCAACTAAGAAACCACTTTTCCATGGTGATTCAGAAATTGATCAACTCTTCAGAATTTTCAGAGCTTTGGGCACTCCTAATAATGAAGTGTGGCCAGATGTGGAATCTCTACAGGACTATAAGAATACATTTCCCAAGTGGAAACCAGGAAGTCTAGCATCCCATGTCAAAAACTTGGATGAAAATGGCTTGGATTTGCTCTCAAAAATGTTGATATATGATCCTGCCAAACGAATTTCTGGCAAAATGGCACTGAGTCATCCATATTTTGATGATTTGGACAATCAGATTAAGAAGATGTAGAGCTTTCGGATAAAGTTTCCACATGTTATATCAAGGATTTATACTTGTATTTTACTGTTGGCTCTGTTTTTGTCTTGTATGTGTTTCTTTCTATGTTGTAAAACTTAAGCTGTACTTCACCTTCTGATATCAAAAGTATAACTTAAATTGTAAATATTGTTCTATATGAATTTAAATATAATCTGTATATGTGTAGATCTCACTGACACTATTTGTTACTATAATAAAATTATAAGTCTACTATTAAAAAAAAAAAAAAAAAGGACAGTGTTTTGTGCAGTGTCCCATCTGGTTGCACTTGTAGCAGGCCCCTGGAGGTATATGTGTTGGTCAGCCCGTCTCAAAGTTGGAAGAGGTGGCTTCATGGCATCTGCCAAGAGGTGGGCCTTTTGCTGGTATCGGGTCTCCTCTTGGCTATTAAATACCTTAAATGCCATTTTCACAAGATCTCCTTGGAGGGGGGGGCATCCTCTGCCTGTTTAAGTTTTCTTTGAATATCAGAGAAGGATTGGGATATAAAATGAGAGTTGAGAATAATTATTCCATCCTTGGAATTTGGGTCTAGGTTAGTATAGCGGGTTAAGGCTTTAGTAAGTCAGTGAGGTTTTCACTTGGGCATTGCATAATTTCTCTAACTTTGTCAAAATTGACTGCCTTATAGGATGCAGTCTGTAGCCCTGCAAGGAGGCAGGTGAGCATATAATTTTGGGTGGCTAGTATGGCAGGGTCCTGATAGTCCCAATGTGGGTCATTGCATGGCACAACCTTAGATCCCACTGAGAGAGTGAGATCTGTGCAGTGGATGCCATTGGCATGTGCCTGGGCTGCTAACAAACTCTTCCTTTTTCATCTGGAGTTAAAGTGGAGGAAATAATAACATATATATCATACCAAGTCATAGTATATGCTTGGGTTAGGTATTTAAATTCTTTAGTATAAGAGGCTGGGTCATTTGAGAAGGAGCCAAGTCTCTTTTCAACTTGGGAGAGGTCAATCATGGAAAAGGGCACATGAACTCTGATAATGCCATCAGCTCCTGCCACCTCCTGGAGTGGTTAGAGATGGGCTTAGCATGCTTGGGAGGAGGTATGGGAGTGGGCATGGGATCTGGTTAGGGAGGAGAAGTGTGAGGGTGTAGCAGGGGCTGAGGGTAAGGCTGGCAGTGTTGGTTCCTAGGGAGCCAATGGCTCAGTGTCCATTGTGACCACTGTAGAAGGGGAATAGGGTGGCAGATGTTTGGGAGAGCCAGCAGGGGTGGAAGAAAGGGGTTGAGTCATGGGAGGATGAGGTGAGTGAAGAGATTGAAGTAGAGGACTGGTGGGAGGAGTTGGGAGGTGGGGAGATGGAGTCTGTGAGGTCACAAGTTAGAGAAGAGTCTTCAGGAGAGGGGTCAGCAGGAGTTTTGAACTTTGAGAGCAGTTTGTCGCTGGCAAGGAGGATTTAAACAGTTTTACAGGATTGGAGCAGGGAGGGTCAAGAGCATAGAGAAAGAAAAGCTTGGAAATTTGGAATTTCAGAACACTTGCCAGTGTGATGGCAGAAATTGTCAAGTCTAGAATTGTGTGAAAATCAAAAGCACCATTTCAGGCCATTGAGATTGATTATCTAGCTTGTACTGAGGCCAAATGGTGTTGCAGTAACAGATTAGTCACTTAGGTTTTATATCTCTTGGAGACCAAGAATCCCAAGGGAGTGGAGAAAGCATCCCAGGGGTGTGGACACATCTAATTTAGAGTGTGTGGTCCCCATAATGTAGAAGAAAAAGGAGAGAAAGAGAGTGAGTGAGAGAGAGAGAGGCAGGTGCCTTGGTGAGTTTACTCTTCAGGCCAGTAAAGATCTAGATCAAGATCTAGCCTCCCTTACGTGACTCAGGCAAAGAAAGCACAATCGTTTGGTTGCCATTTTGTCAAAGTAAGCTGGAGCAGCTATTGAGCTCTCATCCTAGGCAGAGGAAAGGAAAACAGAGCGAGAGAGCAAAAGAGAGAATGAGAGAGAGGGATGGGGTAGAGTCACCTGAACGGGTTCCCAAAGGCGGGCATCCCCGGCCTGGGTTGCCATCTAAAAAGAATGCTCAACCAGTTAGCCATGCATCCCCATGCTAAGCATAGGGGCGCCCCAGCAGGTGTAGGAGGCATATCTGGCATGGTGCCATGACTTCCGGACCAAGCAGAGCAGGTAGCCCTGGCAGGGGGTGACACTTACCGAGTCTGAGGAGTAGGTCAGGTGGAGAGCAGTGGGGAAGAGAGGCTAATGATGGATGGGAAATCCACCAAGGCAGTAAGGTCCAAGATTCAGTCTGTAGGCAAGTGAGGTCAGTTCAGCAGTCTGGGTTCGGGAGAGGGCAGGACACGAAGGCTAAGGGACCAGCCCCAGGCTGGAGCATCCTGTTAACCTCTTCCGGGTTTTGGCACCAGATGTGAGGAACTGCTGAACAGCAGGGTCAGACTGCAGGGTTGTCACTCTTTCAGGTTCAGACTGCAGTGGCTTGGCTGGAATTGGTAGTGGGCTTTATAGGAGAGGCTATACCATGGGGGAGGGAAAGAGTTTCTGATTTCCAATTATCTGTGATCACCAGATGGAGCTGGTCGACATGCCTGGCTAGTTGAGAAACTGGAAGTTCCTGAGATTTTGCAAGCAGGGGAACAAGCAGGGAAGTTTGGCAAGCAGTCATAAATCAGGGGGTCTGGTTTTGGTGTTAGCCTCAGGACCTTCCATCTGCCCCAAGAACCTAACATAAGCTACAGCAAAAAAACCATAGTATATCTTCCATTTATGTGATTGACACACTCCAAATGTCACCACATCTCAGGAAAAAAAGGTCACACATTATTAGTAAGAATGTGAGATAATGGATACAATTTTCTTTGAAAACAATCTGCATTCTTTTGTCATAAAAATAAGCATTTAAGAAAGGCTGAGAAAACATAGACAAGGCACAAATTATTAATAACAGAAATATAAGACAGGTCATAACTCCACATCCATCCTCTGGACATAAAACACATAGTAACTATATGCCCACATATTTTGTAACTTAAGTAAAAAGATGATTTCCTGGAGAGAAGCAATTTGCTGAAGTTCACACAAGAAGAATAAGCTTACATCTATTGAATATATTGAAAGGATAACCTTCCAAAACAAAAAGCACCTGCTCAAGATGGGTTTACTGGTGAATTTTGTCAGACATTTAAAGAAGGAATTTAGTTCATCCTTGAACAGCTTGGTGGTTAATGTTGCTATTCGCTTGTGCAGTTGAAAATTCTTGAATAATTTCACTCCCCAAAACTTTAATGATCAATAGCCTTGGTGTTGAATGGAAGCCTTAGCAATACCATCCACAATGGATTAATTACATATCTTCATGCTTTATGTGTTGTACCCAATGAAAATTACCTGAAAACCAGGAGAGGTCACTGTTTCTGCCATATGCAGTTACTGATGAGGTGACCTGCTGATGTGGAGAAGGTTAGTTTCACACATATTTCCAGTAGATCACTGCAGCGCACTACCACTGAAATAGCTGCATGGAAGTGTCTACATAGTTATTATCATTGGCCTTCATGTATCCTTGAATTTATGCAGTTATAGTTTGATACTACAGGTTTATATTTGTGTGTATTTCTCTGGATTGCCAATGATGATATATATGGTCTTAAGTATGTGCATTACTATTGAAAAAAAATTAACTTTTAAAAATAGATTTGTGGACATTTTATGGTAGTAAATGATAAACTAGACTATTATCTATATATATGTAATGCTTCTGTGATACATTTAGCTTAGTCCTACTTTTTTCAATATTCCTAGGTTGCGTAATTGATCTTTTAAGTTGTTGCAATTCTCAAAATACCTGTATACAAGTGGACCTGCATGGTTCAAGTCTATGTTATTTAAGGGTTAAGTGCACAGCAATTTCCTATGATCTTTTTCAGAAGATGGAAGTGGTGTGGTGGCCCATGCCTGTAATCTTAGCTACTTGGGAGGGGGAGGCTAAGATCAGGAGGATCATGAATCAAGGTGAGCCCAGCCAAATAGTTCTTGAGATCCCATCTCCAAAACAGCCAGAGCAAAATGGACTGGAGACGTAGCTTAAATGGTAGAACTGTTTCTTTGCAACTGAAAATGTCTGAGTTCAATCCCCAGTTCCACAAAACAATAAAAATTGAAAATAAAAAAAGGATGATGAAACTAGAATCATCAAGTTAAGAGAGATGAGCCAGACTGAGAAGATACATATCACATGTTTTCTCTCATATACAGATTCAAGTGCTTAAAAGTGAATAACAGGAGTTTAAAATAGTTTCTGCTAAGTGGTAGGTGCCAGCAGGAGAGGCAGGGGTAAAAGCAGATGGTGAATAAGGGGTAAATATTGGGGAAATAATTTATACACATGCATGAAAATAAAACAACTAAACTAAACCTGTTAAAATTGTTTTTTAAAATGGGGGAATGGATACAAAAGAGTAATAGAGAGGGTGAATTTAATCAAAGTACATTATGTGCATGCATGGAAATATCACAATGAAACCCCTTTGGACAAGTAATGTATGATAATAACGTAAAAAAATAAACACCTATATTTTTTAAAAGGGCTGCTAGGGCCAAACCTCAAAATGGTAGAGGGCTTGCCTATCAAGTCGGTAGCCCTGAGTTCAATCCTCAGTACACAAAAAAAAAAAAAAAAAAAAGAAGTGGAGGGGATATTTCCTCTCTTATTCTATGAAAGAACCATTACCTAATTACCCAAATAAGACAAACATATTATCAGTATTCTTCTTGAATACAGAGGTAAAAATCTTCGACAAAATACTACCAAGTCAAATTTAACAATGTAAAATATAATTATATACCCTCTAACTGGGATTTATTCCAGAAATGCAAGTTTGCTTTAACAATTAAAAAATCAATTAATGTAACCCAATGCATCAACAGACTAAAAAGGAAATTTAAAAAATCAAATTATCATACCAATAGATATGCAGAGTATTTGATAAAGTGCAACACTCATTCATGATAAAAAAAGTTTCAGTAAGCTAGAAATAACTTCCTAAAACTTAAATAACATTTTCAAATATATATATTATATATATATGCTTTAACATATAACACTGTATTTAATGATAGGAAACGAAATTTCCTATCTCATTAAGAACAAAAAAAAGGCAAAAGTGTCCCTTGTTACCATTCCTTTTCAACCACATA